TCTACACCATCCACACCATCCACACCATCCATACCATCCACACCAGCCTCACCATCGACACCATCTACACCATCCACACCATCCATACCATCCATACCATCCACACCATCCATACCATCTGTACCATCTACACCATCCATACCACTCCTACCAGAGAAGGGGGAGAGAGAGAGAGTGACTGGAGGCCTGAGGACAGGGGAGGGAGGCACACTGCAGTCCAGCTTTCCCTCGGCTGCTGCGGCAGGGTCTTGGCACAGCTGATGGAAGGGCCCCTTGCCCCACTTCAGAGATGCTTGTCCTCCTTCTGTTTTCTCTTCCTCCTCCATGTCTTTGGTGAAGAAGGGATGAGGAATCTCAGGGTAGTAAAAGCCTCATTCTGGCCCCTCCCCATCACGGTCACTCTATTACCCTGGGCAGGACCCAAGCTTGTCCTCGAGGCCACCAGGGGTCTCAGTGGGGAGGGCATTGGGCCTAGAGTCAGGAAGACCTGAGTTCAAATCCAGCCTCTGACACTTCCTAGCTGGGTGACCCTGAGCAAGTCACTTCAACTCTGTCTGCCAGTTTCATCAGCTGTGCAATGAGGATAACACCTACCTCCCAGGGTGGTTGTGAGTATAAATTGAGGTAACACATGTCAGATACTTGGCAAAGCTTAAGGTTCTATGTAAATGCCAGTTACTGTTGTTATCACCATTAATAATAATAGTGATAAAGATCCCACAAAGTGCATTACTGGGGCTGGACTCTGAGTCCACTCCCACCTGGCTTGGCTGGCAGAGCCCAGGGGAGGACTGAGCATCCCTGCCCCACCATGTGCCCCGTCCCATGCGATCCCTTCACCTCCCCCAAGATGCTTTTATCCTCCCTCCAGCAAGAAGGATTTTATAATTAGAGGAAACGTTGCCGGCAGATTATGTTCTCATGATGCTCTGTCATTTTGGTGACAGTTGTTCACTGCCACCAAAATATGTCATTATTTGTACCACAATATTCACACTGTGAGGCATTACCACTTAATGATGTTTACAGAAATAAGCTTTCAGGATCTGTTTCAAAGCCATGAATGCACGCTGCCAAAGGGAAGAATGGATGAAGAACGCCGCCGTCACCCGCTGCGGCAGCCCGTTCCTCTGTGTGTCGTGGTAATGCTGTGTGCACTTGTACTAGCGGGATGCATACATGCATCTGGGAGGGCTCTGCCTCTGTCTGCACCTGCAGACTCGCGGCTCCCTCCAGCACCTGGAAAGGATAAAATGGCGTTGCCCTCTAGTCCATCCCCCTGCTTCCGAGCAGGACGACATGTAGACTGAGCAGGATCTCTCCTCCTTGGAAAGCCCGACGAATCAGCTCCTGTCTCCCTTGGTAACACTCCCTCTCAGGCTGCCAGCCCTGCTAAGCGAAGATCATTGGGTTTCTTCCGTCAGTTTGTCTGCCTTTCGGAGTAATCCCTTTTCTCCCCAAGAGCGGGGTCTTCAGCCACCTTTTCACCTGCTGGGCAGTAAGGAATCTCCCTCCACGTTTCTGTGTGCAAAAGAAAAGGCCTTTCTCTCTGAGCTAAGCGTTAGCCATCTACAGGGGCCCTGTTAGTCTTCCTTCATAGATGAATATGTTCACTAGCACCTATGGGGCAGCTTGGGCAGTGAGTACAGCGCCTCCTCTACTTGGGCTTACAAGACTGGGTTCAAGGCCTGCCAAGACCAGGGCAAGTTGCCTGGTTCTTGTAGACCATCCCTTGCATAGCCCCATGCAGCCAACCTGCCCCATCACCTGGATGGCCCCCCCCCCCCCCCCCCCCATCCCCGGGTGCCCCCCCCTCCTCACCCCGCCCCATTACCTGGATGGCACCCCCTCCTCACCCAGTCAGTACTCTGGGTTGGGCCAGCAATGTCCTTAACATACAAATCTACTCGAGGGGCATGTTCAAGGATAAAGTACTCAGCAAGGGTTGAGAAGAGGAGCTGCGTTCTAGACAGAAGATTTTTAGAACTTGGACAGTTTTGCCATGGCAACTTTGGGGAATGTCTCCAATGTCACCTTTCCCTGGTTGTCATGGAAATCACAGAAGACATTCTCCCTGACAATTAATGTGCTATATTTGATGGCTGTTATCACCCTTAGCTTGTGGAGGCTGGATGAGTGCTGGACACGCGCCTCTTCTTTCTTTCTCTCCCCAAATCTTTCCTTCCAGATTGTGCTCCATCTAATTCAGTTCATTTTAACAAACTTTTATTAATCCCTGACCATGTGAAAGTCCCTGAAGATACAGAAATCAAATGGAAAACATTCCCCCACCACAAGGAGCTGACATTCTGAGGCGGGGCGAGGGGTACAGGAGAGGAAGGTCATACAACGTGTATTTTTTTTAATTTAATTTTTATTTTGAGCTCCAAATTGTCTCCCTCCCGCTACCCCATTCCCCACCCATTGAGAAGTCAATAATTAATGATCCCCATTATACATAGGAAGTCATGCAAAACATATTTCTGCATTAGCCGTGTTCTGGGAGGAAAAGCAATAAAAATAAAGGAAAAAATTACACGTATTTATTAAGCATTTATTAAGTGCTTACTGCATATCAGCACGGAGTTCTCGGGATCCAGATAAAGACAAAAACAAGGCATTGCCTTTGAAGAGATCCCATCCTCATGTGGGAGACAACATGCAAAGAGCTAGACGTCCAAGATAACAGAGAATTTTGTTGTTCAGACCTGTCCGACTCTCTTGTGACCCCATTTGGGGTTTTCTTGTCAAAGAGTGGTTTGCCATTCCCTTCTCCGGCTCATTTAACATATGAAGAAACTGAGGCCAACAGGGGAGGTGATTTGCCCAGGGTCACCCAGCTAGTAAATGTCCAAGGTCAGATTTGAACTGGAGCCTTCCTGACTCCCGGTGTGAGGCTCTGGGCACTGTGGCACCACCTAGCAGCCCTACGTAGAGAATAAATGGAAGCGTCTGAAAAGGGGCTGTGTGCACATTGGTTCTATACATTGGTTCTACACAGCTCAAGAGGGAGGGGGCGGTGATGCCGCTGTCGTCCCAGCCTCCCCCTCTCTCTGGGGATGGTTTGCTTCCTCCTGCTTCCTTCTGCTCAGCGCTTTTCCCCACTCTCTTTTTATAGCTTTATTTACTAGGAGAAGTCCCAGAATTTTGTGCACGGTCGCATGCTGCAGACTTCCCCGCACCCTGTCAGTGGATGCTCATTAAGCCTGTGTACAAAGAGAAGCCGCGCAGAGGGATAATTATCTTGTCTATGAACTTACTTGCCGTTTATTTATAGTTATTCCAGGGAACGAAGTGGGGCTGCCTCTGAAATGTGTGATTAGTGATTTGTAACGGAGAGCCTTCTTTCTCCTTTGCAGACTTTTGAAGATTTTAAAAATGACAAGCAGGCTCTGGAATACCAGCAGCGGATCGTGGACATCTTGCTGAAGGCAAGTAGGTTGGGGTGCTTCTGATGCTGCTGCAGGTGAGGGCTGCCGTCGGCGCCGGCCACTCGCCCCATGAGGCGCTGCTAACGTCCCTGACGAGGGATCTCTCTGTGGTTGTCAAGGGTGACACCGCCGTCCCATTAACCAAGGCTCCCAGATGACGTGTGACAGTTGATTGGGAAGGAAGGAGATGTTCATCCCTGTCCAGCTCTGGCTGGATTTGGGTAAAAAGCTATTTTGAGACCCGAACTGCTGTTCTAGTCTCTGTATCGACAGTTTCCTTTCCTTCCCATCTACGTCTGCCCGGTCCCACCCAGGCCATTTGCTAATTCAGCGGGAGCCAGGAACTCTTTTTGATTCTCATCCCTTTGCTATAGAATGAACTTTCCCCATGTCCGGAAGGACTAGAAATGACTTTGTATAAAGGGGATGAGTCATCTGCGTGCTCGTCCCTGCTGTGGGAGGAGACCAGACCTGCTTCATGTTAACCTCATAATGCCTTAGTTTGGCCCCAGAGACTTTCCATTTTCAAACGGCTCCCCACAAGCATTTTCTGGTGTGATCCCCATGGGAACAGAGGCGACTGGGTGGTGCAGTGGAGAGAACGCCAGGTCTGGTGTCAGAATGACGGAGTTCAGATCTCGCCTCACACACTAGCTGGGTGACCCTGGACGAGTCCCTTAACTTCTCTGTGCCTCAGCTTTCTCACCTGTAAAAGGGGGCCCGTGATAGCGCCTACCTCCCACAGTTGCTCTGAGGATCAGATGAGATAATATTTATAGGGCATTTTGCAAACCTTCAGATGATCTATAAATGCTCGCTGTTGTTAAGTAAGTGAGTCAGGAATCATTCTCCCAATTTTTTTTGATAAGAAAACAGAGTCTTGAATGAAATGGTTTGCCTACATTCATATGCTAGGAAATGGCAGAGCCAGATTAGAATCCAGGCCCTGTGACTCGTAGGCTGGTGCTCTTTCCACAAAACCACATTATCAATCCACAAGCATTAGTAAGCACCTCCAGTGTGGCCAGCCCTGTGCTAGACCCCAGAATGCAAAAAAAAAAGAGCTTACATTCTTTCATGTTCATTTATAAATATATCCAGAATGGATACAGAAATGAGTGCAAGGTAATTGGGAAGGAGAAGGGCCCTAGTAGCTGGGGAGAGCAGGAAGAACCTTTTGTGGAGGGTGAGCCTTGAACTGGATTTAAAGGAAAACACAGATTTGAGGAGGCCTGGAGATGCCAGCCAGCCTGAGAAAAGGGCACAGGAGACAGGAGAGGAGAGAAACATGGTTTGTGAATATGCACTTAGGAGACAGAGCCTCTGCCCCTTTTTGGCAGAAATTTCTTCTATGGAGCATATGAAATGGGAGCATGGCAGGTCTCCCAGTGAGACTGTGATTTGGGGGGTTTTAGTGCTTATTTTCAAGGTTTGTGTTGACCTCTCTACATTAGACTTTCTGTAGTTCTAGAAGACGATGAAGCTGCTTCCTCTCGAGTGTCTAAGCCAGTGCTGGGCATGCAGCATTCACTTCCCAAGTGCTTCTTGGTTTTACACAAAGCATCAAGTTTGTGCAGCCTAGGGATCCTTCCTTTTGTTCCTTTCCTTATTGATTCTAGGGCAGATTGGGTGATACTGGTGGCCTTGGGTTCTGGACGCATTATTGTCATCGGTGAGCCGAGGATTGAAATGGAAAATGGCGGCAATTTCATAGCTAACCCCAAGTCAGAGATAGTTGGCTCACAAATTTGAGATAGCTGGAGTTTCAAATGGCCCTGATTAGCTAGAAAAATGGTCAGAGTGAATACAGTCAATCAGTGCAAATTCCTTACCACGCTGGAGAAGCCAAAGAGAGCCAAGCCCAGCAGCGTTCCCATGATATCGCATACCAGTGAGTACCACCAGCAGCATGCCATCCTGGGAGATACTGCTGCTGCTGCTTTATTTGGTGGCTCCAACATGGACCCTAAGAGTGGCTTCCCCCCAGTTGCACTGATTGAGCCCCACCCATGGGTGAGAAACCCAGGCACGTGTCACCTCAGAGCAGTCGAGGTCGCAGGCTGCAGGCAGAAGAATCAGCAACCGCCGTGTTGTGACTTTACGTAGCTCTGGAGATGAGCCACCAGGTCGTCAGGGGTCCTGTGCCCTATGCTATGTGCAAGTCAGCCTTGCAAATAATAAGGAGTCAATCATGGGGGGCATGAATTCTCAGCTAGAATGGTGTTTTGAGGTCATCTGGTCCAACCTGCTCATTTCTAGATGAGGAAACTGAGGACCAGGGCTGGGAAGTGTCACCCAACCGATGAGTAGCAGCACTGGGGACAGAAACTGGACCTTCTAGCTCTTGTCCAGAGACTTTGCCATTAGATCATGCTGTCTGTCTGTCTCCCTGGAAATCCTAGAAGGAAGAAGGGCCATGACCGCCTCCCCTTCAGAAGGCCCTTATCATCTTGGTTATGTGAATCAGCTGGAAGAAGGCCACAGGAGATGATTAGATTTAGAAAATCAGACCTGCTAGGGAAGGGAAAGGACTCAGACTTAGGTAGCTTGGAGAGAGAAGGCTGCATCATTAAAGGCCGAGCAGGTAGTTTTTTGTCTCTATTAGGGATATTTTGGGAGAAAATGAGTTGGCAGAGCAGGAATGCAAATTAGATGTGAAGAGGAACCTAAAAATGTAGTCGTGTTGGGCTGGATTTCCTCAGAAATAATCCTTTACCTTGAGGTTCTCCTACAAGGATTCCAGCAGGTGTAGCCAAGTACTGGTCACTAGGTGTGGATTCTGGGGCAGAGCAGGTCGGAATTGGTGGTTTCTGATGCCTCTTCCAACTCGGAGGGTCTCTGAATAGAGGGGCCTCTGTGGAGACAGCGGATTTCTGGGTTAAAACTGAATCCCACAAGCATTTATTAAGTACCTGCTATGTGTGAAGGAGAAAGGGTTTTGGTTGGGTTTTTTTTTGTTTTTTTTTTTTTTCAATTCTTGCCTTTTAAGAGCTCACATACCAGCAAGACAGCATGGTTGTTAGTACTTTGCAGGGTTTATTGAGAGCCAGTGGGAAATTGCCTCGGAAATGCCAGTGTTTATTAGGAATTCCTGAATGGGAAAATTTTAAAGAGAATTGTTCAGGCTAGAAGGAGGAGGGAAGCCTCAGGCAAGTGGAGGTTACCAGCTTTTTTGCTTATTTTCCTAAAGGAAAGAGAATCATCTGGAAGGACCCATATGTGACATTAAAAAAGGTTCAAGAGACATAGTTTCTGAGTAATTTAATCATTATATTAATAAGGCCAGCAGGTTATTAATGAAAGGATAGTCATTTGGCCATCTCTCTTAGACCAGAGGCCATCATGGTGGTGAAACAGTAGGTGATCAATGGGACTGAGAGTGACCCTTGCACAGAGAAATTTTCTCTACTCAGACCACCCCCAGCTATACCAGACCATTCTCAGCCTATCTAGACAAAAGGATCTGTCTCCACCCAAGCTTGAGTAGAACCCAATGGGCTTCCCCACCCTAGATTAAATTCCTTGCAAGGTTGGGTTATTAATAATCATTTCTGACACATCTGTATAATAAGCTGAGACAGGACAGATGGAAAAGCCAGGAACCCTTTGGAACCAGGCCAGTGATAGAGCCTAGATTATAGGGTCACTGATGTAGAGCTGGGAGGGAGCTCAGAGCCCGTCAAGTCCAATGCTCTTATTTTACAGATGAAGAAACTGAGGCCAGAGAGGTCCAGTGACTGGCCCAAAGTCACCCAGGGAAGAAATGGCAGAACCAGGATTTGAACCTCGGCCCTGTGACTCCTAAGTCCGGCCCTCATCTGTTGCTCAAAGGCAGCCCAAGCATTAACCTTCACGGCAATCCCAGGCCTCGTGGCTGGCAGGGACCATGAAGCTCATCTAATCTAACCCCTCATTTTATAAATGAGAAAACGAAGGTGCAGATATTAGATGACTGTCAAAAGTGATATCACTAGTTGGTAGCCAGGCCCAGGACCAAACTGTCTTGGGTTCTTCCATTAAATGGCTTTAATGGGTTAGAAAGACAAGTGAGAGGATTACGAACCTCTCCCCCACATCCTCCCAAGCTTAGCAATCAGGCTTCCATTGGGAGTAATTATCCAAAACTCCAACACCCCAATACTCTGCTTAATAAAGGAAGAAAAGCGTTCAGATAACCCAACCAGAAGCAAAGTTGGGTGAATCCATTGATGGGCCTTGCTGAGAAAAGAGGAGAAGGAAGAAAGTGGGGGAGGCAGGGGCCCACACACATATGTCCTTGATGGAAGAACGTTTCCTTGTTTTACCTCTGGGTCTTGGCTACAAAGAGAGAATTTGAGACTGTTCCGTGGCTAAGACGTGGCAGCTCACCCAGACTGATGATTGTAGCACTAAAGTCACTCCCAGTGGCGGGCTGATGGCAAGATGGCGCAGGGAGGTGGCTGGTGAAGCCAAAGTACGGTCTGGGCTCTTGGCCAGCTAATGGACAGAATGAATGACTGGGGGCTGGTCTGCACCCACTCGCTTGGAGATCCCTTCCCCATCTCATGCTTGCTTGGGTTGGCCGCCTTCTTTTCTAGGCTCAAGGGATCATGGATTTAAGGCTAGAAACATCTGTAGCACTTAGCGGATGCAGCCTTACTCTACTTTCCACAGTGGTGGTCAGCTCAGTCTCTGCATCGTTAATAAAAAACATCATCCCAGACCTGCAGCAACGAGGCAGCCTTCCCTTTCTGATATATGTTAATTGTGTCGAGCCAGGTAGTATATTGAACACATGTGGTCCTTCTGCTCGTCAGGTCATGGTGGAAAATTCAGATTTTACTCCTTCCCAAGTCGGGTGTCTCTTCACCTTCCTCGCCCGACAGCTCGCCAAGCCCGACAATACGCTCTTTGTGAACAGGACACTTTTTGACCAGGTACGTGAGTCTGACTGCTGGAGCCAGCTGGGCACTGGCATTTTTCCTGTTCGTTGGCTTTCAGAGCTGCTCATGGGCCATGCTCCTTGAGGTGATGTGGGACTGGACAAGCGAGCTTTGGTGGGAGGATCTTTCTGGTATAGATCAGTGCCAGGGTTGGAAATGGTGCTTCTGGGAATAGGAGCTTTTCTTCTTGCTTGCCCATCCTGATGGGACCAGGTTCTGGCCAATGGAATTATCCTGGCCTGAGCTTTTCAGAGACATAAAAAAGCATTATCTCACTTGGGGGAAAAATGGGAAAGAGGAGAGATGTCAGAGATGGGACCTGGGTAGCCCCTCACATCTCTGAGGAGTCCAGGAGCCTGCCAGTTAGATTTAAGAAGCCCTTGCTCTTAGCTCTACCTCGGCATGTTTCCAAACTGCAGCGAAAACGTGATTCAGGTACAAGTGAAATTGTCAGCATGAATCGAGCCTGCTCCTCTCGGGGTTTAAGTGGAGAGTTGGGCATGTGGTGTACCCGGGAGCAGAGGCTGGCGGGAGATGGGGGAGGGGCCAGTTACTGACTCCTCCAAGTGCTGCGGTGTCATGGGTTGTGGGCCAGGCTCCAGTGAAGGTATCTTTTTTTGGGCCAGGTCCTCGAGTTCCTCTGCAGCCCCGATGACGACTCCCGGCACGCGGAGAGGCAACAGGTAGGACTCCAGAATGTTCTCTAACTGAACTTGAAGAAGGGAGATAACATAACCAGAGGCAGTCTTGGCTTTAGCTGAGGACGCTGAGAGGGAGGGAGGTGCCAGGAGCTCATGTTGCTGGTATCCCAAGGTCAGCCTTGGAACTGAAAAGACTTGGGTCGTTCCAGCGGCCTCTCAGAAATGGCGGAAAGGGTGGCAGCACATTTGTCCAGCGAGTTTAGAGGTCAAAGCCCCCCTCTGTCTCTGCATCCCCAGACCCCAGGCCTTTGGAAGGACGGAGCTTGGCAGGCCTCTCAGGTCTCAGCTCTACAGGGCTCAGGCTCTGCTTTCTTCCTTTGAATTTTTGGCCCAGATCGGTGATTTCTTCATTGTAGGGAGCTCCTAGTAGGGAGACTCCCACCACCAATGCAGAACTGCTTGTCTCACTTAAAAGAAGCAAGTGGAGAACTTTTTATGTTAAATGGAGATTTTTCGTGAGGGCCCATGAAGCCAACAATGGGCTGGGGGTTAGAGAGGCACACAAGGCCTAGAGCTACCCCTCTTCACATGCCCCCTAAGGCTCCCTTGCAGCCTCCTTGGGGAGACGTGGGGCTGGAGGGGTGGCGAGCTCAGGCACTTGGGAGGAAGCAGCTTGGGAAGAAATGACAAACAGGAAACATGAAGCTAGCCTGGAGGAAGAGTCTTGAGCACTGCACGGGCATCTTGTCTGACCCAAGGACACAAAACTAGTAAGTGGCAGTCCGAACTGGCACCCAGATACTTGGATACGGTCTCTTGAGGCATCGCCTGTGATGGGTGTCGTAGCCAGCCAGCGTAGGGCTGCGTGGTTAATCCAAGAGGGAAGGGCCTTCAGAGAATTGTTTGGAGAGTACTTTGTGTCTACCACGGATGATGGTGCCACGGCCCACGGTGGATAATGGCGCCGCGTCCCATGGCAGCAGTGTCCCAGGCTCCTTGCCAGCAGGATCCTGGTAGTGGATGAGGCTTGTTTAAAGGCAGCCCTTCATTAGGCAGTGGGTCAGCGCTCACTCTCAGTCTCTTCTTAATCCTCATACAGAGGACTGCAGCGGAGCCTCTGTGTCCCATCTTTGTAAGAAGCAGAGTACACACTCACCCAGGGCTTGCTGGGTCACAGGAAGGCAGGAAGACACTTGGAATAAATCTGCTTTTGGAAGAGTGGGGTGGCCAGTGTGGTGAAGCGTCGGCCTCGCGGGCTGGCTGGGTGGGGGTGACGTGCAGCCAGGGTCATGTCCAAAGGGTGCAGATCTGGCCAGCTGGGCCTTCTCCACAAGTCATCCCTACAAAACCAAAGGAGGGGCTCATTCCAGTTTCAAAATTTTTAACTGACATGTTATCCTGTCAGCATCATGGCCGCAGGCATGAGATCTCTTTTACCTTGTGTTTGTAAAAGCAAGCCAGAAGCTGAACGACCTCTGTCCTTCCGTGGCCCTTCCTGAATTCGTGGTCTTCTCCGTGGGCTGCCCCCCACCCCTTCAGAGCTTTCAAAGGGGGAGGAAGAAGAATCAGTGAGAGTGTTAACTGTTCTCTGTGCATCTCTAGGTCCTCCTTGAATTGCTCCAGGCTGGAGGGATCGTGCAGTTTGAGGAGAGCCGGCTCATCCGGATGGCAGAGAGAGCTGAGTTGTGAGTCACGCCAAAGCTGCGTCAGCGCCCAGTCCCCAGCTTGAAGCCCGTTCTACTGCTGCCCCGCTGACTCTTTACAATAAGTGTGAAGCAGCAGGCCCTTTGTTCAGAAATGTCCAAGCAGCTCAAAGTTCCTGGCCTCAAATGTAGCCAGATCCAAGGGCCCGGACACATCTGCATGGGCCTGGACACATCTGCATGGGCCTAGAGGCCAGATAGCCTCCGGGTAGAATGATTCTATGCCTGCGTTAAATAAAATCTCTGCCCGATGTTTCCTTGGCCTTTACCACAAATTCCACGATCACCCTCAGGAGCAACTCCAACTTAATGTTGGCAGGGAGGAGTCCAGACCTGTGGCTTCATCAGCACAGAACCTCCCTTCGCTGATGTCGCTGAGCCGCTCTCCCATCATTATGATCTTGGGGCCCCACTTGGGGGACCGAGAGATCTGCCCAGGTTACAGCTTTTTGTTTCCTTCAACACAGCACTGGCCATTATGTCAAAAACAGGACTTGAGCCCAGGTCTTCTCGAACACTCCCAGGCTGGCCCTCTGTCCAAGGACCGTGCTGCTAATAACGCAGACCCTCAGGCAGACGTTCTAACCTGCCATTTGTATCTGCCTAGGTTGTAAAATGTTGCCCCTCCCCTCCCCATCTTTAATCCTTTGAGAAGAGGCAGCTTACTGGAAGGCTCTGGGGGCCATTAGCGGAGGTCCTGTCCACACATTTCATGAGACCCGCCCAGCTGCTTTTACCAATACAGGTCCCTGTTCCGAGGCCACATGTCGCCCTTTGGGTAGAAGTGAGCAGGGCTCTCCGATAATAACCACTCCTGCATTTAACCAAAGAAATTCCCCCCCGCCTGCCCCATCCCCTGCCCCTTGCCTTACCCTTGGCAGCCGGTGCCCTCTGGCCGCTGGACCCATCGGCCTCTTTTCTCGTCTTCAGCTACCAGATTTGTGAGTTTATGTATGAACGAGAACACCAGTATGACAGGATTATTGACTGCTACCTCCGGGACCCGCTGAGAGAGGTGAGCAAAGAGGGGCTTCTGCATCTTTCTCCTCACACGCCTTCATTCTCTTGGACAATATCGCCTCACTCAGGCAGGTAGAGTCAATCAGTTAGCATCGGGACCTCCTTGGGGCCTTGGGCTGTTCATCAAACATGGAACAAAATTTCCCACGTCACACCATCTCTCGCCATACTTCCGGCACCAGGAGTTCCTTAATGAGGGTGCTCCCTACACCGACGCTGATTGCAGCCCCTCTGCAGACAGTCTCAGCGTATTCTGTGGCCCAAGCGGTTCCTCATTGTTTGCAGCCCTGCTGATGATCAGCTCTCGCAGCTGAGGCTGGTGCTTGGCCGTCACTCACATAGGCCATCTGTGCCCAGGCTCGTGCTGAAAACCCCTCTCCATGACCCCCAGGCCTCTGACTGCTGTGGCCGGAGGTGTGCCATTCCAGGGCTCCATCTCTGGTATGGAGAGCAGGCAGGGCAAAGGCCTGGAGGTTGGAGATGTAGCTTTGTGGATGAGGAAGAGATAGAAAGGCAGTGCTGGATTATAGCGTGGGGGAGAGAGGTCAATAATACCAGAAAAGAAGGAAGGGAGCCAGGTGGTGAAAGCGAGTTTGTGTTTGACCCTGGAGATAGCGGGGAGCTGCCAGCATTTGGGAGATGTCGTGGTCAGATCTGCCCTTGATGGAAATCCTTTGGCAGTGGAGAGGGAGAGACAAGTCCCCGAAGGGGACGCCTTGCCCTTACCTAAGCTTTGGCAGGTATTTCATAGGAACTCAGCCAAGTTCTTTCTACCCCTTTCAGGAAGAGGTCTTTAACTACATTCATAACATCTTGTCCATTCCTGGGCACAGCCCGGAGGAGAAGCAGTCCGTGTGGCAGAAGGCCATGCTGCACATTGAGGTAAGTCACGGCCGCGATCTGGGTCAGCGACGGCCCACTCCGCCAGGGCTCTTTGTGCGTTTGTTTGTCATAACTCATTCCACTTCATCTTGGCAAATTTCATTTTATCACATCTTCTCCATTTGCTGTCACACTCTCAAGGTCACTCGTATGTCCTTGACAAAGCCAGAATTATTTGTCCCTGTGCACTACCCTGGATACCCACACACTTCTTTCCCAGATCCCCCTTGGCCTCCGGATCATCTTTGTGAATAAACATGGAAGTTGTCCCCACCTCTTCCTTGGGCAGCTCATGAAGCCTTGACCTGAAGGGCAATATGACTTCCTCCTCTGGGCAGGTTTCTTTTCCATGGGGCCATTTCTCTGACCTCGCTGAGAAGAGGAGTCACAAATTTGGGCTTTTCCTAGCGTCCCCTTCCCTGGCCCAGGCACCCAGGAACTTGGCTACCAAGTGTTTTCTGGAAGATGGGGGGTCTGAGAAGCTGCCTGACCCTCACTGGGGCCCCAGACTTCTGTGGCGGCAGAAACAAGAAAGCTGATTGCCACTGACAGTTTGTAAGAAGTCTTGGGGTCAGTCATTGAGGGCCCAGAACCTGAGGTGCCTTGGAAGTCTTCAGAGCCTGCTCCGTGGTGCGTTGGCTTCCCACCCCGTCCTTACCTTCCTCAGCAAAGATGTCAGACGAGGCCTGTCTTCAGGAGTAAGGCTGTCCTCAGCTCCTCATGCTCTTGGGGCAACTGGGGCCAGGGATGGGGACGTCCTCAGGGGACATATTTGATGAGGACTGTGTAGTCTTCCTTTGGAGCAGGAGGGCTCTCCCCGAGGACAGGTCGGCCCCGATACTTCAGAAAAGTGTCACGTCCAAGCAAGGGCCCAGAGACTGCCCGAGACCAGAGCTCGGACAGACGTGTGAGCAGCCTCTCGGGGGATGCATTGGTGGGGGAAGTGAGCGGCTGCCCCACTTCCACTTGCGCACTCTGAGCTAGGGGCCTGCATGGAGAGAAAAGAAGGCATCCTTCCTTAGGACAGGAAGAGCCCCAGAGGCCCAACAAGACTCTTGTCCCTCCAGAGGAGGAGAAGTGGCCCATAGGAAGAGCCGGTTCTGGGTTCAGGTCCTGTCCCTGTCTCTTACTGGCCTCATTGTCTGTGTCTGTAAAATAGGCACAAGAATTCTTTGACTGCCCTCTCACAGGGTTTCTGTAAATGTTGATGATGATGATGATACTTAGTCGGGGCTTTAAGGTTCGCGGAGTACTTTACTTGGGTTTTCTTGTTTGATTATCCCAATAGCCCTAGGACATGGGTGCTACTGTTACCCCCATTATGCAGATTGGCAAACCAAGTCCCAGACAGGTTAAGTGAGTTTCTTGCTCAAGATCACTCCCTTATGGGGTAGAATCTGATTCCAGTCTTCCTTTGTTTGGGGGGGGGGGGTGGCAATTGGGGTTGGTGACTTGCCCAGGGTCACACAGCTAGTAAGTGTCAAGTGTTTGGTCTGAGGCTGGATTTGAACTCAGGTCCTCCTGACTTCAGGGCTGGTGCTCTATCCACTGCGCCACCTAGCTGCCCCTATTCTAGTCTTCCTAACCCCAGTGCGGGGCGTCAGCCTCTGGGCTGCACTGCTTTCCCAAGAAAAGGGCTTGTAAGTCAGCCGTATGATTATTTTTATCATTAAGTGGGCGCATGCTCCAATCCCCCTCCTTGTGTTGGGCGGCCTTTTTGCTGCGCTACAGGTTTCTTTGGCCTCCTCGCCTCTAGGATGACTCGCTCTGTGAGCCACAGATCCCGCTATCTGCACTAGAGAACTGGTGGTGGGGGCTGCAGTGCCTGGAATGAAGGAGGGGCCTCTGTTTTATGCCTAACATGACTCAAGATGAATTAATCACCGAGAAAACTAATTCCTCAGCAAAAAGCCCATGCTGGAGAAGCAGACACTGCTTCTTCTGTACCTCGGTTATTTCTGCTAACTGGCTATTTTGTTTTCTCCTCAATCTGCACTTTTTTTCACCTTCAAGCTTTTTTGTGTCATTCGATGCTGCTCAGACTTATTTAACCAAGGCCTTATTAATTACCAGGGCCTTAAGAACGGTCAGTGGCTGTGAGATCTCTGGGGGCAGAAGCCACGAGGAGGGTGACACCAGGGCTTTGTGGTGGAGGGAAGCAGGCCTAAGACCCCTTTATTCAGCCTGGGCTCTGTGCCCATACAAGGGCAGTCTGAAACATCAGGTTCCTGTTTCCCAAAGTTGGGGCTGGATTTTTAGACACGCACGTGTCCTAAAAGTGAGGTGGGTACACAGAGCGAGTAGTCGCCGGGGCATAGGAAGAGGTTTGGCTAAGAAGTGTTGGGGCCCCTGGCCCGGAATCAGGTGGGGCCCAGCTCCCTGGGCTTCCCACAGTGGACTCCAGAAACACTGTTTAGCCCTACCCAGCACAGGTCAGGTGGGGCCCCAGCGAGGGTCAGGCAGCTTCTCAGACCCCCTCATCTTCCAGAAAACAGGGCCTGTTTTCATTACCTTGTCATTCTTCAGGCCATTTCAAAGACAGCCAGCTCTCTCAGACACTCTGACTGCATCCGTTTGGTTTTATTTTCACTCTGGCCTGCATTTGCAAACCGAAGCCTCTTGGTTCTGGGCAGTTCAGCCATTCCGGGTCAGTTCAGCCATTCTGCCTGTCTAGCGACCTTGCTGCCAAGTCCGGAGAGGCCTCGGAGGCCGGTCAGCTCCCCCAGTGTGTTTGCTTTAGTTTGTAATTGAACTCCATCATTGAATTAGCAGCTTTTGTCTTCTTTCCCTCCTGCTAACCTCACTGAAAAGAAAAAGAGGAAATCAAAGTCATTCTGACCCAGAGGCCTAGTCCTGCCAGTGTTCTGCACATAGTAGGTATATTTAGCACTCCCTACTGTGTGCTGTGCCTGGATCATGAAAGAAATGGGACTGAACCTGGGCCGTCACATCAGCAGGATTTGCCCAAGGTTTCAGGTGTCTGGAACAGCATGAGTAAAAGTGTGGAGGGGGGAAGTGATGGCCTGGCTGAGGAAAAGAGAGGCTAGCTCCTAGCAGAGTAGCAGGACATGAAGTTGAAAAGTTGGGGCAGGGCCAAGTTGGGAAGGGTCTGTCCAAAGCCAGCCATAGCTCCCTGAACAGCCTCTTTTATTCAGACCCAACTGCAGAGACTCAGAGCCAGCCCTAGGGAGATAATGAAGCCAACTAGAGATGGAGAAGGTGCCGAGGAGGAAAGTGAGGGCATGAGGCCTGAGTTCATTTGTGTTGTTAGCAGGAAAGCTAAGTGGGAAGAGAGGAGAGAGATCTGAGCCATCCTCATCCGGGCGGAAGATGAGGCGGCTCCCGAGAACGGATCGTTCTCGGAGGAAGAGACTCTGGAGTGGAGAGCTGAGGCCCCCGCTGCGTGGAGGGGCCAGAGGAGGCTTCCCTGGGGCCCTGTGAGGAGGGGGCGAGGTGGGGGGATGGGGAGATGAAGCAGGCTCTCACAAGCCCACAGGGCTCAGCCCCAAGGAGGGGGACCGGCCTGCCAGGTTAGCGTCCCCATGATGCCAGCCCTTCTGCAGCTGTATTTGCAGAGGCTTGTGCAGCCCTCGAAGGCAGGACTGCCCAGCAGACAGCTCTGCCACCACACAGACCACTTCCAGGGAAGCAGTCACTCCTCTCTGCGAAGCCCAGCCCCCCCGCCTCAAAGCCAGTTTCCAAAGCTCCCCCGGGACGGCACCAGCCCGGTTAGGGTTCAGAAGCCCGGTGAATTCCTCGTGCCCTCCAGCAGCAGAGTTCTCCCTCCCTGCTTCCCTCTCGCTTCCATCCCAGTCCCTTTGCTGACCCCAGGCAGTCACGGTTTCCACCCTCCCCCACCTGCCAGACCCCCTGCCCAGCCTCTGCCTCTCTTTCCCGCCACCTTCCATTGGGGCCCCTGGAGCCTCCCCCAGAGCCCGACCATTTCCATGAATGCTGGTCACCGTATCTACAGCCCGGCTGTCCCCGGGTGGCAGAGATCGCCTCTCCCACAGCCCTGTGCAGCTGAAGGGTTCTGGGTGACAGTCCTCCCAGGTCACAGGTCCGGTAAGAGGGTTCACAAAACTCCTTGGTCCCCTGCCCCTCCAGATCATTGTTCCCATGATCCCTCAATGGCAAGCAACGCTTAAACCACTAGCATTTATTTATATCATGATTTTTTAGTTTTATTTGGCCCTCCTGATAGCCCAGGGAGGGATGGTCTAGTATTATCCCCATTTTACAGATGAAGAAACTGAGTCTGAGAGAGGTTAAATGATTTGCCAGGGTCACATGAGTATCTGAGGCAGGATTCGAGTCAGATACTCTTGACGCCCTGTCCAAAGGGCCACGTCACTGCCTTCGAATGGAAGCCGTCTCGAAGCCCCTGCCATCCAGCCATCTTCCTGTCTCCCGTCTTTGTCAGCATGGACCCCCTGCCTTCTGCAGGGACCTTAGCACCGTCCAGAGCCAATCTCCTGCTGGCCTCATCATGTGTCCATGCTGGGAGCCTTTTTAACATCTGGACTCAGCTCCCAAGCCCGTTATTGTCCTCCCCTCCTCACGTCTTGTACCCACCCCCAGGCAGCTGCAGCCCCTCAGAATGGCCATCAGAAGGAGAGGGAGTGTGGCCTCCTAGGTAGAGCCCTGGATGTGGAATCAGGCACCCGAGTACAGATCCTGCCCCAGTGTCAGAGTCGGGTGATCATGGCTCTCCGAGCCTTGCTTTCCCAATCTCGGAAATGACAATAATACTTGCACTGCCTTCCTCCCGGGGCTGTAGAAGAGACAGCAGACCTTCAGCTGTACAAGCGTATTGGATGGTAACGAGCCCCATTATCCTGACCTTCTCCCAGGCCGTCGCCCCTTGGTCCTGGGAATGTCTCCCCACTGACACCGGGCGCCCAGTCCACACTTCCCACCCTGGGCTAGCTCATCTGAGCCTCTGCCCCTCTCCTCCTGCCGTACCCGCTGTGGTGTCCTCAGAGCAGCTCCACTAGCTG